GGAGAAACAAGATGAACCCTACACTCTAGATAGCCTAAGGTTTAGGAGCAGAGAATGCCCTCACCCTGCTTTTGGCTAACTAGATCTGTAAATGATGCTGGGAAACCATACAGGGTCTCCTTTCCATCCACTCCTGGGAAGCAAAGCCATCTGCTTGAAACTCTTGCAAAGTTTTGGGCTGGAAACGATGCACCAACAGAGAGCAGCTGAGTCACTGAGCTCAAGTGGGATACTTCTGCCATTCTTTCATTGCCTTCTCTACCCTGGGGCAATACAGTCTGCATTTGCTTTTTTTTTTTTTTCCTTCTTTCTTTTTTTTTTCTCCTATGGAACTAACGCATCTGAAAGTGAGTGCCTAAGAACCAGGGTGCTGCTCTGAAAGCTCCCTCTCTCCCCCAGTGCTTCCCTCACCTGATCTGCAGCATCCCCTGCTCATCCAGTCCTAAAACATGATCATCCTGTTTGCCTTACTGTCCTGTGGCTTGCAATACACCTGCTGAGCAGTGCACCCTATACTGTCGGCCCAGGCCGGGACCAGCTGGATGACACTAACCTGCCATATGATCTCCCTGTGAGATGCACTGCCCTGCTCCCCCAGAGCTGAGCAGGCTCCCCAGCACACCTTGCCAAAAGACCTCACTCTGCATCGTTGCTGATGTTGCAGTACCAGGACAGAGATCTCCCTCTTCAGCAGACCAAGAGCCTGGGCTGGATCTTCCCCCTACACCCTGCAAATCCCTCCTCCAAGGCCGTTCCAGATCCCCACCACAATCCTTGCCAAACCCCTCAGGCCCGCTTTGCAATGACCCCCTACCCTTTCAGCCCCAGGCTATTCCCTTGCTCAGCCCATGAAAATTGGTGTTTGTGGTCCCGACATATCCCACCCTGCGACTGTCCCACATCTGCCCAACGTGGTGTGCTACTCTAAGGTTTGAAGGACAGTGGCTGAAGCTAGAGGGGCGTGTTCAGGGCTCCCCAGGCTGGAAAGGTTTATCATCTGCACCCCAAGAACTGATGTACCTGCTGGCCCCACAGCATCCCCCTCAATGACACCCCCTCCACTCCACCTCACCTGGTGCCTGACCCCTTGGGCTGCCCCCACCGAGCCAGGACAGCTTTCTAGAGGTGGTGCTCCCAGATTTTTCCATCACCCCCACATGGCTCCAACTTTCCCCCTTTCTCCTGCGTGTCCCCCCATTCAGCCCAGCTCCTCAGACGAGCACGTCACACTCATTGCCACAGCACTACCCCTGAGAGCTGACCTGCTCGTCGGCCTAATGGGTTTCCAAGGAGGTGGGGAAGAGGGGAAGGGAGCGAGTGGCTGATGCTTCTCAGCCACTCAGCTCGGCCCAGAGCTAACGAGGCATCTCAAAATTAAAAAGTGAACTGCAATCCCCAGCAGGCCTGTCCTCCTTTTGGTATTAGTTGGAGTTCTCTTTCTCTCTCAGAAAAAGAGGACTGGGGAGCTGTGAGGTTTTTTTTCTGGGGAGCGTTTGGAGCCATTGAAGCACCACATCCCAGGGATGGCGGGGGTGCTGGGATGAGGAACGGCAGCCTGGGGCTGCTCTGCTGAGGAAGCACTGGCTCTCTTGGAAGGGTTGAGAACTGCAAGATCTGCCTCACCATGGCAAGGAGCACGGATGGTACATGGGAACAGGGTCTTTCTACATCCAAAGGTCCCCAGCTCCCTCCTGCTCTGTGGGCAGCAACCATGGGCGCGTGGAGGAGGCACCCCAGGACACGGAGGTGGTACCTTGCCTGCAAAGCCATGGTGGGGGACAGTGCAGGAGTGATTGCCACCAGGCACTGATGTGGGGGAAGGATGGCAAGAAGGAAATAACTTTCCTGTAGGAGGAAGAGATAGGGAAAGCGAGCAGGGAAAAAGCAGAGGAGGGAGGAAGGGAGGGCAGCCTGGTTTATCACTTTTGTGGATTTTATTTCTCATGTGGGAATCTGTCTGGGAAGGACCTTTCTCTGCCTGCACACCCAGGGTGCTCAGCGCTGGCTGTTCTGATCTTCCTGCCCCCAACGCACTCATTCTTGAGCTGCAGAGGGACGAGGGCTCTGGCTTGTAGAGGTGCTCTCTGGAGCAGCTCAGCCTGGCTCACAGGAAACTGAGCAGTAGTTGCTTTGCTCCAGTCCTGGCCACTGCTCCTGCAGGCAGCTGCCTGTCCAGCCAGACCCCTCGGTCACTGCTGGGCCAGCCCCAAGACAGGCCCGCGCTGTTCCTCTGGGGGAGATGGCTCTAAGCACGACCTGCCAGCACCCCAAGATGCTGTCTCGACCATTCACAGCTCACCCTAACTGGTCTTCCTGGGGAGAGAGCACAAGTGAGTGAAGAGTGATTGCCTTCCCCAGCAGAATGGCTTATACCCACCTTGCCCAGCTGGAAGGCAGCTGAGGGGTGGCAGAATGGTCCAAGTGGGGCACGAGGTGGGCTGCAGGGCAGTGTCCTGGAGAACAGCCCACTCCTCAGAGGGTGCTGGGACTGGGGTTCAGTCCAGTCCCACATGTCCCTGAGAGATGGCAGGTCTGCATACACGCAGCTTACAGGGTTTTGCCCAAGGTGTGCCTTTTCCAGCTGCACACAATTTATTGGGGGGCATTTTTCTTTCTCCACAGCCTGGCTGTGGATAACCTAGAAGCCATGAAGGATTAGATGCATCCTGGCATGTTCCCACTGGATTTCTCCTAGGAATGGATTTGGTCCAAAACCTCAGAGAACTGGTGAGCTCTGGGGACAGCAGTGGTGCAAGAAAACTTCTACCGCTTTTCCCTGGACTCATAATGCTAATGATCTTCTGCTTTCAGACTCACCTCTTCCCTCATCTGTAAATGCTGCAGGGAAAATTTTGTCCAGATAAGGTTATCCTCAGGGAAAGGGGGCCAGACATGCTGAGAGTTAGGGCATCCCTGCACACTGAGCACCAAAGGCACCATCACTGGTGCTGCCAGCTGGGACTTTGTACTCATGAGCAGAGGGAAGGACAAGAAAGGGTGAAAGGCAAAAGTGAAATGAGTGCAGGAAAGAGGGTTACCATCGTCTTTCTATTTCTTTGCTTGAGTGAGGGAAAGTGCAGTTTGTACTTTGGGAATTCGGAGCAAATTCAAATAAAATGCAACGGTTGCCCAAAAACATCCATTTTACAGTCAGGAAGGGCACAGTGCCTGCCGAGCCCAGCCCGCGCACCGCACAGACCTGGCAGGGCCGGCAGCACCGTCTGCGCTGAGCCCCATGCCGCCCTGCCCAGGCTGAAGGAAGGAGTGGTCCATGTCCTGGGGGGTGGATGGATGCCCTGGGGACCTGGCATCACAGCAAACAGGCTGTGAAAGGGGCCTGGGCTCCTGGACCTCCAGCCCCACATTTCTCCACTGCACCCCTCTGCTCTGTGCCTCCACAGAGCCAGACCACCTACTGTTTTACTGCATCATAATCATCTCAATGTCTTACAATATGGTTTTCTTGCAGTTTTTATGTCGTATCTGCAGTTCTCCCCCTCATAAAATGTGACTGCACCAATTCCTGTGATTGGGGCTGGTCAGCTAATAGGGACATTTTAGGTTCCTCAGACAAAGCCTCTAAGTCAAATCCCATGTTCAAAGGAGAGAAGGGAGAGGGGGAACCCCTGTTTCCTTGCAGAGCACTGAAAGCCTCCCCAAAGTGTTCCCCCTGCACTGAAGTGACACCCCAGATACCCACTGTGCACTATGGAGGGATGAGCATCTCCCCCACCCCACAGTCCTCCATGAGACCAGGGCCCAGCAGCACCCGAAAGCCGCCGCTCCACCCTGGGAGCGTCCCCAGCGGGGACGGCGCGGGGAGGGGAGGCGTTCTGTGCCAGGGAAAGGGGCAGTGAGCGGCTGCGGGCAGGTTTGGGTGAGGTGCAGGGAAACCAGAAGTTTCAGGGAGGGACAGGTTCTTTCGTGGGGTCATGGGAAACTGGAATACACTGACGTGACTTCAAAACCTGATGAAATCGGGGGGGATATTCCACACACATACCCCCCCTCCCCCCGCCCCCAGTTCCAAGGAACTCTGGATCAGGTCCTTTGGGAGAAAACGCGTCCCATGGACTTGGCCCTGGCATGTCTGCCCCTCAAAATCACAAGCATGAACCTACTTCGCAGCAGTCATCTAGAGAAGGACATTTTGATATGGTTCCTGTCCTCCTACAGGCTGAAGATCCCCCCATCCCACACATCTCCTCGTGAGGGGGAAATAGCATTGCCCAGAAGAGACTGAAAACAGCCAAGCTCGGCAGGTTGAAGCCAGAAATCCTCTAAATCCCCCTCCCCATGTGGTCAGCTGTGGTTCTCACTGCTTGCTCCTCTCCAACAAAAGAACCTCAACTGTACTCTGGAGTACAACGGTACCCAAGGTTTATTTCATGTTTCATCTCCACCAGCACAACAAAGACAAGGCTCTTCCTATTCTCCTTTTTGCTTTTTGCTCACAGGACACGAGAGGACTTGCAGATCCTCACATCTCCTATGAATAAGCAACGAGGCCACCAGCTCCCCAGGGAATGTTTTATCCCATACTGTTGCTGAAGGGCCAGCCTGGCAGACCAACCGACAGTCCTGCCAATGGACAGCCCAGCCCTCTGCAGGGAAAAGAGCTAAAAAATCTGGCATTGGGAACAGCAAGTGGAGGAAGGTGACCTGTTGTCCATGATGGAGGAAAGTTTTGGGGTAGAGGAAAAGCAGAGAGTCTCTGTCCCAGCAAAATGTCCCCAGAAACATCACACCATGGACAACCCCCAAGCTGTCTGCAGAAATTGGTTATAGCAAGAGGAGATAGATAGCAGGAGGGAAACCAGGAGGCCAGAAAGAAACGTGAGGGAGAAGGCAAGAAGGAGATGGGGCTAGCAAACAGGGCACAGGGGAGAAGTCAGGTGGGAGCGTTTCGCAAGGGTAGTGCATGTTGCGAGCAGGCGAGCCGGCAGCACAGACACGCGATGGCCCCTGTGCTCTGCTCTCATGACTGGCCATCACCATACCTCCAAAGTCGGGCCTGAGGCGGACGTCATAGCCCTTCAGCAGTTTGTCCACAATCTCTTTCACCACAGAAATATTCCCAGTGGATGGGCTGAAAGACAAAAGAAGAGAGTCCTCGTCATCCCGTGTGCCACCAGCCCCACAGCAGCGGGTCCCGGCCAGGCAGCACTGCCAGAGCACCCATCGCGCCCCATGGCACCGAGGTGCCTGTGTGAGCTACAGACACCCCAGCCATGGGCACAGCCTCCCCATTTCCTTTCTCACTTGTATTTTCTGTCTCTGGTGCAGGTCTTGGCCCCCAGCCTGCACACGAGCCCCGTGGGGCTGCCAGGGGTTCTAAGCCATCTTTGGGGGTGGCACAGGAGTCTCAGCAGGTATTTTGGCTCCTCTTCTGTAGCTCACCCTGACCACTAGGTACTCCAAACTCCATCCCCCTGTGCTCCTGCCTGGTGCGTGCCTGCATCCCAGCGGTCCCACCAGGCTGGTATCCCTCTCAACACAGGCACCACTCACCATGCACACCCCGTCCCCAGCCACCGACCTGCACACTTGGGATGCCTCGCTGTGCCCTGCCCATAGGTGGGTGCGCACACTCACACGCAGGAGGAAATTACCCTTTCTGTTCCACCAAGACGTGCACAGGGCAGCTGCAGCCTCTCTTTTGCAGGGCTCACTTCCCTTCCCCTGCCGCACTGGGCACTTGCTCCCAGTCTCACACTGCACAGCACAGACTTGGCACGCACTGAGGTCCCCAATACACAAGTCCCACCCCAGCAGGTGCCCTGCACTGTCACACATCCCAGTGCAACCTCTGCTTCTCAGCGCACCCAGGTATTTCTTCGTATTATTGAAGTAAAGGGAAAAACAATGCTGCTTTTGTCCTATGGCCTCAACATATGGCTGATCTTTGGCATGTAAAAATTCATTTTGTCACTCGGCATCATGGTGACTTCTTAGCAACACAAATCAAGAGACAGAGACAGGAAAAGAGAGTCCATCTTTTGCTCTTTGTGCGAGGGCAGCAATCCTTTCCCTCCCAACGCTCCGACTTCCATGCAGGGGGGCAGCCATCCTCCCTAACGCTGATCAAGCTCCTCCAGCCATTTCAGCAAGAAGGGAGCTCCCCCTAATAACAGCCCAAGAGCCAAAGCAAAACTGAGTGTGGGAAACCAGAAAGCAGAGGATGCTAAAAATATCGAACCTATTCAAGTGCTGTGGGGTATATAGGTTTTCTGCCTGAAAATCCAGCCTCAGCATCACCCTTGTCCCCTGCTTTGCATGAGAATGGAGACCCTGCCCATGACAACTCCTGCTCTTTGCAGTCACCCACCACAACAGCATGTTTCCCTGTCAACACCGCCTCCCACATCCATCCAAGCCAAGCTGGAAAGCTGCACCAGAGCACTGCCTCTGCCAGCCAGCCCTGTGCCTCACTGGTCACCGGGGTTTGCGCTGACATGTCCGTGTGTCTGCATACACGCACACACACAGACATGCTTTCCTGACTGTATGGAGGATGTACAGACTCCCTGCCTGTGCACACAGACATCCAGACACATGAAAGTGCTGGAGCTCAAGGGTACAGCTGTGAAGTGCACAAAGGTGTGTGCATGTGTGTGACCACATCCAAGACTGCGTGGAGGTGACTGTGGGTGCAGATCTTGCTCCATTGGGTTATGATGAGACTGGGCTGTGGACACATTTTATGCAGGTGCACAGAAATAGTCATTTGTGGGTGCCTGAGACTGAGTTCCCAGGTGCCCAGTCTCTCCGTGTAGCCATGGGTGGAGGCGTGTGGGACCTGTGGTGAAACCGGGCATGTATTAAGGCTCTGGACACACAGAGTGTGTATGTGCAGGGATTTCTCAACTGAAGAGGGGTGTGTGGATATGAGACAGCACACTTCCCAGGCCCAGCTTTGGTACATGGACGAACCGTTCAGCACTTGTGCTGGGGGGAGGTGTCTGAGCTGCATTCCTTGACCATGCACCTTACAGGGGTACAGCTCTCCACTGCATTGCTTTAATCACTGAAAAAAGGCCGGAGAGGTGTGCACAGCACTGCACCTAGGCTTGCAAGGTCCGCTTACACCTGTGGATTTCTATGCAGGTATGTGCTCACGTATATATGCTCACAGTAGATTGATAGTGTGCCACCAGCATTTGTTCATCTCTGGACAGTCATTCCGAGGTACATAGATTTCCATATTCATAGATTCCCAAATTCATAATATAGACACTAGGTATTTCTCAAGGGATTTAGACTTCTGTTTAGCTTCACACAGGACACCATAAACTCAGGAAGCAGCGTTACCTCCTTAATATTGGCAAGGAAATTGAGGCAGAGATAGGAACCAATGTGCCAGGGGCCCTGCAGAAAGCGGCAGAGTGGGAAGAGGGAAATAGGGACTATTTCCTCCTCATCAGCTACAAGTTGGCCTAGTGAGGGAATAAACTGGTGTCAAAATTAAGCACCGGGTCTCTTTCCTCTCATTGCTCCTTTTGATCCAAAAAAACATCCCTCCTACTGAACAGGCAAGTTGTGCATTTGCCCAGCTGTGGGTGAGCAGCTGCATCTAAGTGCTATTCCTGGCAAAGGTGGGTCTGCGTCTGCTTATGGAGCACGTACATCCAGCCTGCGAAATGAATTTTTGAATGCTGTGTCCCTGACTCTGTGCGGGTGTGCATGTGCTTCGCATATACACATACACTTGCAGCCAAACATCTACATATATGCGCACCGTGTTGCTGGCCAGGCTGTGTGGGAGTAGCTGAAAGCATGTACACATGGGAGAATGTTTTGTCTCCAAGGTGTGCACAGATATACATGCAGACTATAGGCAAATATCAGTCCTGGACATAAGCAGATATAAACACACATGCAAAGACACATCTGAGCAAAGACTTTTGACATGGGCATTGCTCTTTATACGTTTGCTTGAACGCTGCCTCTGCGTGCCCATGTATGTGCCCATACACAGTGGAACCATGCATGAGTGGTGTGGGTAAAGCGGGCACGAATCTGCACACGTGCATGCTTATACCTATGGGAACATAACATAAACCTTTGTATATACAGCTCTGCAAGCCTGTGCAGGGACCTGCATGTGTGTACGGGGAACGTGCTGCTCGGTGTGCATGGCTGAGCAAGGAAATGCCACAGCTCTCTCCCCAGCAGACTTCATGCTCGCCGTCAGCACAGAGGTGCAAACCCACCTGCCCGCATGGGTGAGAAGGGGGGTGAGGAGGAGCAGGCAGCACTACTCCTGCGTGGGAAGGCAGTGGGTAAATGCCTGTGTCAGAGTGAACAGGTGTGCTCCGAACACCTCGTCCAGGCTGGATGGGTGCCTGCACCTCTGCTTGCTTGGATCACTTGGAGTGCTCAGGGCAAACGCAGGAATAGCTGCAGCTTGAGCATGCGGGGTATCAGTGCGAACATTTACACGGCTACAGGCAGAGCAGGTAAAGCGCGCTGTGCTCCGTAGATGTGCTGCGATACACATGTGTGTGCACCCGCATGGGCATGGATGAATGTGCACATGCAGGGATGTATCTGAACGGATCGCACCCACAGACGATGCTGTTGCACGCCATAAATCTGCGTGGAGGCACAGACGTAGGCGTTGCTTCCCGTACACCGCAGAGCCAGGGCTTTGGTACTGGCACAGCGTGCTCGGCCGTGAGCGTGTGCGCCGTGTGTGCGCAGACACAGGCATGGCCGAGGCAGCCCTGTGCCGGGGTGCGTATGCACGCAGCTCGGTGCTGTGCACTCCGTCGGCTCCTACGGACACCATGTTCCCCAGCAAATTGTTTCATTTTGCCATTTTCCCCCCTGGTCGGGTACGGGGGGGATGATGGGACGCGATGCGCTGCAAGTGGGCTGTGAGGTGGGCTCCGTCTGCGGAAAGCCTGCTCCACATCTCATGTATGAGCATCCCTCCTCCCCCTAAAATGACACGGACTGGGAAATAACAACAGCAGGCAGCAGGGGAAGGAATTTGGGGAAAGAACCCCCTCCCCTTTCCCACATACAGATCGATGGAGAAAACCCCAAACAAAACAAACAAACCCCCCTTGTCCCTGGAGCCTGGGATCGCAATCCTTACCTTTGCGCACAGCAGGCGAGACAAAGAGCTGCTAAAGCAGAGACAATTCCACTCAATCTGTCTGCCTGAAATGTCCACATTTCCACAAAGACGAAGGATGAAAAAAAAATCTTTGGAGGGGAGGGGAAAGAAGGATGGATCTTCTGAAATCCCCCTCCAAAAAAAGGGGGGGAGGGAAAAAAGAAACCAACCCCCCCCAGTTAATATTTCCTACAGAAAAAGAATAATGAAAAAAACTAAAAAATGTGGGGGAAAAATATCCCCCCCCGTTCCTTCAGTGCCAGTCAAAGAATTCGTTTCTTCTTCCTTTCAGCATCCTCTCAACAAGAGACATCCTCTGGCAATGGAGAAAATCCCAAGAGAAAGAAAAATAAAATGCCCCAAAATGGGCTCAGCAAAATGCGAAATTGAATCTCACAGGTACGCAGAAGAAGGAGAAGAAGAAAAAAAACAAAAAAAAAGAAAAAGAAAAAAAGAACTCAGTGTCCCCTGAGCACTCCACTTGGATTATTTTTCCTCCTGCTCTTTTGCCATCCGGTTCTGCAGATGTTGCATGGCTCCTGCTACCCACCTTCAGAGAAGAGGAGGAGGAGAAAGAGAGTGTGTGTGTGTGTGTGTGTGTGTGTGTGTGTGAGAGAGAGAGAGTGTGAGGGGGGAGGTGTGAGTTATCTAGCAATACGATTTTATTCTGGATTTTACCTACTTGCTCCCCCCTCCCTCTTTTTTTTCCGAGGGGGAAGAGGAAGCAAGCCAACGCCACTGTACTGTTATTTTAGTTTAGGGAAATCTCGGGCTCATCACTTGTAAGGTTTGGGACTTTTCTGAAAGGGTTAAAAAAAGGAAAAACAAATGCAACCCAGTAAATAAATAAATACATATATGCATGTGTAGAAATAAATAAACCCCTGTCTGCAGAAAGAGCTGCTCTCCGAGGGAGGACTGGACGTCTCCCTAGTGCTGTTGCCGCAGCTCCTGTGGAGTTTTGCTGCTCGTTGCAAAGTCACAAGAGGAGGGGAGGAGAGAGGGAGTTTGTGGATGGGGAGGGGGACTCTCCGGACAAACTGGGATCCTGACGTCATGGCTGACAACATTAACCCCTGCTGGCTTGCAAAGGGCATTTTTTTTTTTTTCTTTTCTTCCCAGGGAGGTGGGAGAGGGAATAGGATGGGAAGGTGTTGGCATTTTGGCAAGCGGGGGGATGCGCCTGGACAAGAGTGGCCCAGCTGCAAGCGCTGACGGGTGCTGTGGTTGCCTGAAATAGTGTGATCAGCAAAGGCTGAGCTTCTTCCTTCAGCCACAGAGACAGAAAAGAAGATTTACTGAGATTCTCTCTGTGCCACGGGGCAGAGTGGCCTGGCAGCTTCCTCCTGGGGCACTGGGGAAGATCTGAAGCCTCTGGTGGGGCTGGAGACTTCCCTAGGCCAGGGAAGCCCACCTCGGCAGAGATGCTCAGCTTTCTCTTGAGGGTGCTGTGTTATGGGTACAATACAGTTTGTGGGAAAAGGGAGCCTGAACTTCCAGAAATGCCGCTGAGGATCAGCTCCTGGTGCTGTGGCTTTGCCTGCTGAAATGGCAACAGCCATTGAAACCTTCACAGTCACAATCTCCGGTGCATTAGCTTCTGATCTTTATCTTAAAAAAGTAATACAATTAAGGAGCTCTACATCAGGCATGCGGTAATGGAGGATTTTTTCCTAAGAAAAAGAAGAGATCCAGCAGCACTTTGAACTCAGAGCAGAAGCAAGGAGGAAATGTCCCAGCTCTCATGCCAGGACCATCCTGGATGCTGTCTCCTCTGTACCTGCCTGTCAGCTCAGAGCAGACCCTCCGAGCAGGTAAGTCTCCCCTCCTCTGGCACTGGCTGACACCTCTGTATGGATAGTCTCCAAAGTGCTCTGGGCCAAGAGCGCAGAGCAGATGTGTCACTGCAGCTGGGCAGGACAAGGTCCAAAATGCCTCTGAAGAGGCACAGGGCAATGCACGGTGGCCACTGGGCAGTACCCTCATCCTGCCCTTCCCTGCAGGGAGATCTGCCCCAGATGCAGCTGGGCAAATCCTTGGCTCTGGATAATGCTCCCTTCCCTTCAACCATGGCATAGCTCTTCATGGTTGCCTCATCAGATGCACACCACAGATCACATACTCTGCATCTCCTTCTCGCAAAAAGAGGGATGGAAGAGTGACAATTTTGAAGAGCTTCCCTGCTGCAGGCCAGGCTGAGCTTTTGCAATGCAGAGACATTAAAACAAGGAAAAGCTGTCTTGTGTGATGCACTGTCCTGGTGTCACAGCTCAGGCCATCTCCCCTGCGACTCCTGTCACAGCAGAAAGGTCCTGGGGGCAGCCAGCATGTGAGGCTTGTGGGAAAAGGAGGGCTCAGGCTGCAGTTAGATGCAGGCACTCAAGCAGCTATGGCTGGTGTTTTTTCTCACCCAGCGGCACCATGGCCCAAGCCAGCCGCTGCCTGTCTGCCGTGGCTCTCGGTGCTGGGCTGACCGCTGTGCTGAAGGGCGTATGCCCCCCAGGATGCGCCCTAGCTTTGACATGCCCTGGTGTGATGAACAATATGTACTTTGTCAACTCCCCCAGAAATTTGTGGCTCCCTGATTCTTGTAGCTGAGGGGGTCACCTTTGCTAAAGGGCTGTGGGGTGGCTGGCCAAAGTTTCCCCGTGTGCCTGGTGAAGAGGAACTAGGTGAAGATCTGTCCCAGCAGATCTGGGTTGTGCTTGGTCAGGCTCAACCCCAACTTGAAAAGCAGCTGGTCCTGCCATTTCCACAGGGCAGTTTGTCTCCTGTGCTATCACTTGTGCCGCACCCAGTGTGCCTGGCTCCACAGTGCAGGGCACAGCCAGCCGTGGCCCGGCTATGCCAGGGTCCTGAGAGATCTCCCCATGTGCACCACCGGGAGCCCTGAGCCTGGGATGAGCTGCCCCAGCGCCTCTCGGGCGCCCGCTGATGTACAGGTACAGTATTGACCTCATCTGCTGCTGCCAGCACAGAGGTCTGCTGGCAGCAGCGTGTTTCTGAAGCACTTACTCTGAATTAAGCTGCTGGGTACCAAGGAGGAGCTCTTGGATACAAGAAGCATTTGCCTCTGCCAAGGCTCTGGGCACCAGAGGCCCCATTTAGCCCCTCGTCAGGCCCTACCACTCCTCCCTTTTCTGGCCCCTTAGCACTGCTCTCTCCCACCAGCTATGATTTCATGTTACTGGCAAAAAGGTAAGTGGAAAGCAAATGTCAGAGCCATACACGAAGAGGAAAAATTATGCTCACAAATGGTGACATTTGTGCTTGCAAGTTCACCCAGTCGGGAGCAAAAACCATGTCACATGAATTATCTGACCACTCAGCCACAACAGGAAACTTTGGAAAGCTGATTTCTTAGCAGCATTCAAAGAAGCTGTTGTGTGCTCTTGAATAATCTACCTGAAGCCGTGTTTGTGCATAAAGGACTGGTTTGGAATTAGTCACCCATCTCTGCTGAGTCTCATTAAGGCTGATGCACACTGACATGTGATGATGCTCACTGAGGTGTTTGTTTCTTGCCCTCCAGAAGATGGGCATCCTTGAGCCCCTCCCAGAATCCCAAATGCTGGGTCCTTCTTCCCTGCTGGGGGGCTGTCTGCCCTCCAATGATAGCCCAGCAATGGGCTTTTCTGAAGCTCATATTCTGAGTCCAAAAAGAGCTGTGAGAGGCTGCTAGAGATGACATGTGGTGGCTGTAATCACTCTGAAGAGGCCATGGAGGACTGTGTTCATGGTCATTTGCTGTCCTCCACTATTAAATCGTTCATTTTCCTTCCTCTCATACTTGTTGCTCTGCTGCAAGGTCCACACCCTGACATCCCTCCTTATCCTGTGGCCACCACTAACTCCAAGTCACAGTGTTGTGCCAAAAGCTTACAGCCACCAGAGACAGTGCAATTCCCTTGTTTGTTTGTTTGTTTTTTTCTCCATGGTGTCTTAACAGTTGAGCACTTGCTGGGTCTTCATCTGTGTTCAACCTCCATCTTTGGGTTCATGGCATGGGAGAGGGGGATCAGTGCTGTTCTGAGGGGTTTGTATGAGTAAAGCAGTGAGGCAGTGAATCAGATTGTCTCTACCTTCTAGGAAAAACAGGGAGAGTGAGGCTGAGCTTTGCCAGCACCAAGGCATGTTTTAGACCTCCCCTCCAAGCACGCAGATGCACTCAGCAAATGGATTCTGGGTAGATATTTCAGTAGAAAGTATCCAACATAAGGAAATAACTAGAACTAGCGCTAGGGAGCATCCAAAATACAGGTCCACCAGTATCACTTAGCTGTGTCACCTCCTGTCCTGAGGAGGTGTCATGTGTCCCTCTTGCAGCAGGAGGGAACAAGGTTTTTCTTGCCATCACTATTATCATGCAAGTGCTGCTTTTCCCAAGGACTTGCCATCAAGGTGGAAAATCTTCCCAGTCCCCTCTCCCCGCTGGCAGGATGGATGGCTCTTCTGTCAAGTCAACAACTCCCAGTGGAAGATAGTTGTTCTAAAGCAGAAGGACAAGAGAAGAGAAAGCAAAACAAATCAGGCACTAAACCAGAAGTTTAGTAAAAGCCCTGCAGGAAAGGAGAAAATATCCATCCTTAGAGCTGGAATTCCTGTATGGAAGGTGGAAAACGTCCTGAAAGTAAATGAAGTGTACCTCATGAGGTGGAAATAGAGGAGGGCAGAGGCACGGGAAGCTTTGCCACTTGGTGTAGCACACAGCCTCTGCCTCCTATTGCAGCTGTGTCCAGGACTGAACTCACTAAGCCAGAGAGCCTTTGCAATTCCAGC